GCTCAAAAATAAAGTTTTCATCGATTTGATTATGAGCGAATGTGATTCATTTAGGTGAACTATATAGAGCTGGTTGCGGTACACCCGCAGATGAGACAGAATCGTTGTATCGTTGTTTACCGCAGGATCTATATATACGCAAAATACATATATTCGCCTGACTATCGTCAATATATATGAGTACAAGCGATATTATAAGCCCGCATCTCTGGCTTCTCAGAATCCCAATCAATTCTCAGCGGCCCGAATTCAGCACTAACTGAAGCGCAATGCCCATGGGAAAGGGAAACATGTACGCGCATGTGCTATAAATAAAGTTCATAATGCGATTGGGTAATTCTTTGAATCATTTCAATAATAACACAAATACATGTAGCAAGTTTCCTATATAGGCCAGATATCGTACTCTATATGGGCCCATATCACGCCCATGTCCGGAAATCTCTCATATCCTACAAGTAAGTTCATGGAACTAGACCAAGCTACAGATTATCAAATGACATCATGAAATGATAGCTCTCTCTCTCTCTCTCTCTCTCCCTCTCTAGCCTTTAGCTGCTATCGTTAAGCTTATGCAAATACTTACATATACATATGCATATATATGCATGTATGTATTTGTTTAAAAAGAGCTGGTTTCGCAACTTGTCAGGCAGACTTATCACTGGCCAACATTTTCAATGTCAGTTGATTACAGACAATTGCCAGAGCCGAACAGAGCCGAACAGAATTATCATCCGTTCCTCATGCATGCATTGAAGTATTGCTAAATGGGTTTCGGAAGTTTTCACTGATAAAGGCAGACTTGCGGCCTGGCGACTGGATGCTTGGGGGCCTCTGCTTAAAATAGAACCAAATGATTTTGTTCACAGCTTTGAGCATTCACATGTGGGACTGGCAACAATTGTTTATCTGAACAAGAACAACAGAACTTAAACTTATTTCAAACTGAGCTCCAAAAAAAAAAACCCCAAGAGAATAAAAAAAATACAAGAATAACAACGAATCAAAAGTCTCAACAATGGGCAACGAAGAACTAAAAATTTGTCAGGCAATACTACATGACACAGATGCCTAAGAGCTCTTGCTGCCTAGCCTGGACCGTATCAGCGACTCACGATCGAGCTGTTGCTCAAGTCCCCCTGGTTTAGGTATCAGAAATTAATCGATGCGGCGCCCACAACAAGTGCTCAATGCTTAAATCTCAAATGCTGTGGTGGGAGAGGGGGTACTAATGGAAATATTTGAAAGCTCAGATACAGGACTCGAAGAAAAATAAGATGAAGATTTATTAGAAAAGAATTTTTTGCTTTGAATATGATATATGATATGTATATTCATAGTATAGTAGTAACACTAATATTATTGGACGATGAATTTATCATTAAGTTCTAAAAATTATATTTCTAAAAATTACGTTTCCCTGCAGACGCAGAGCTTTGATTTGTATGTACTATGGATCTTGATCCTTAAAATATTCTCATTGGCTCTATAAGGCGAAAATTGCAAGCTTAGAGTAAATTCTTATAGCAGCTTGAGAAGTAGAACGATATACGAAGCATAAAACAATATTTTGATCTGTGTTCACTTATCTATTCAAGCATTCATCTATCCAGCCATATTTACATATATCCATTAATAGGTAATTTATTCAATCCTCGTTACATAAAGCCAAGAAATAAAATACTTTGCGTTCAAAGCCATATATTTTAAATAGATTTATTATAATATATTTGACTAATCTATGTATGTATGTATGTATATTATAGTTAAAGCTATGCGAGTTTAAAAGATTGAAGGTATATATACATATGTATACAGTATCCATTCAAGCTGATTATTGGTTCATTAAAATGAAACAAATTAACATTTGATCATTGGCTCTTCGCTTACCTTGACTGAATTTTCTAGCAATCGCTTTGGATCGCATTATAATCTCAAGCAGAGACGTCATTAATGCTGAACTTCTCTCTAGTTATATCCACATGATATGCAGGACGCGATTAGCATGGCAAAATGAGTTCAAGAGTTCAGGCCATTGACATTGACACACACTCAATGTGTGTGTGTGTGTGGGTGTATGTGTGTGTGAGTGAGTGTATGCGCACAATTAGAAATCACAACTTGAATTAAGAGCACAAAGGACCGACACAATTTAAAATTTGCATATGAGCGGGCGCCAGGCCGTTCAAGCGGTGGTGGGGAACAGGGGGTGGGGCGTGACGACGGCTAAGACTTTAAAACTGTGGCCAGGCAATGTTTTGGACTTCTGCGGCTCACTTGAGGCACGTGCGAAAGGTTGGCGGTTCAGTTGATTGGAAATACAAACACACACAATATGTATAGATATATGTATATGTAATATAGATATATACATATGCACTACATACATATATAGATCGAAAGACCGACGGCAAAAAGTGTTTTGTTGTTGCAGCGCTTTTGGCATACGAAAAAAGCAAATTGAAGTTTAAGGCACAGAGCGCGAAACAAAAAACGCAGCAACAACAACAATCAAAACTTTGACGCGACTCCGACTGTGTGGCACACACACCTGCCTATTGAAGCTCCTCAGAAGCGACTGACGACGACGATGACGACGACGACGACGGCGGCGGCGGCGGCGGCGACGGCGGCAACGACGGCCGCGACAGCAGCGGCAGCAGCGACAGCGACGAAGCCACCGACAACGCGAGCCAAGTCTTCGAGTATTTCGTCTATGTGTAGTTGTTGTTGCTGTTGTTGCTGTTGCTGCTGCTGTAGCAATAGTTTTTTTTTTTTTTATGTATTCAAAACTTTTTTTTAGTCCGCTCGCGACTGCGACTGACTACGCGGCGGCAGCAATTATGGCAGCCAGAGTCCTGGCTCAACCACCAGCCAGCCACGTGTAGGTGTTGCTCCAGCTCCACGTGTGCTTGTTTGTGGGTGTGCGTGCGTGTGTGTGTGTTTGTGTGTGCCAAAGGACACTAACGACCAGCACGAGGTCAACGGGGACAACCAGAGAGTGAGAGAGGGGCAAGGAGCCGGAGAGAGAGAGAGAGAGAGCGAAAGAGAGCGAAAGAGAGAGAGAGAGGGAGGAGCAGAGCTCCTATGCTCGAAGCAAACAAACACACACACACACACACACACAGAAAAAAGCGCGACGTAATTCATGCAAATTAAGTCACGCAACGTGAAGGGTCGGGGAGAGGGGGTAGGCAGCTGGCCAGGACTCGGCCTGAGCGCCCATCTCTTCGCTCGACAATATGAACTAGCGCTGGAATCGAACTGGACGCCTAGGCAGTGAGTCAAACTTTAGCTGCTCAGTGGAATGAAGCTGATAAGAAATATTTTAATTAAAAAACTTGAACAGAGCTATAGAAGTAGTCAGAACTGTCCAGTCGAAAGAGCTGGCCCAGCTTTTGATGTCTCTCCTTCTCTGTCTCTGACTGTCGTTCTCTCTCTCTCTCTCTCTTTATCTTTCATTCTCTAATTCTACCCATAAAATTAATTATTTAAAATTAATAATTGATTTTATTTTCTCTTTACTTATCCATGTGTACTCTATATTATTTCATGATCATATGATATGCTATGATCACTAATAAAATAATGTCATAATAGATATATAGTCTATGAACTAATAATGTTAAGGACTGTATTATATATAATATTATAAATGAAGTACTAAAGATAAATATTCTCTTTCTCACATCAAACAGTGGTACCAAGAGAGACAGACCAACAATCAAAAAATAAAAAATTAAAATAGAAATAATAATTTAATATAATATTTATTTCAGTACATAATTTTACCTTTATATACTTTATTAGTGCATTTTATTTTATTTATTTATTTATTTTACTTCATATTTTATTTATTTATTTATCATTGTTATCATTATTATCATTATTATTATTATTATTATTTTATTTATTTATTTATTACCTATTTTTTTATTTTTATTTATTTATTTTTTTTATTTTTTTTTTTTTTTTTTTTAATAAAATCTTTTTCTTAAATTTGTAAAAAAAAAA